AAGCTGAAGACTCAAACATTAATCAAACTGCGCTCCGGAACAACCTTTCCCTCGCATTAATAAATACATTTGAGGCCCCTCATTGGACAGTTGGCCTAATTTGTTTCTTTTTCGCAGGGTTGGGGGAGCCGCCGCGCTCGCGCCCCCCAGCTCCCAGCAGCCGGGCGCAAAGCAGATGTTCCGTCGCGGAAGCGGAGCTGCGCTGAGCCGCGCGCCCCGGAGGCCGCGGTTACCATGGCGACGGCCAGGCCGCCTGCTGTCGCCGAGCACGCTGTCTCGCCCGCTCAGTGATTACCTCCATCTCCGCCGCGTTTGCCATACGGCCGGGATTCTAATCAGTTCCCTTCCCCCTCCTCTCCTCCGCCCAGCCCACTTACCCCTTCGGCCCCCGCATCCTTGGGACTCACTAGAGCTGCCGGTGCAGCCCTGGAAGTGCCCAGGCAAGCTGAGAGGTAGAGGTATCCAGCGCCCACTCCTCTGTTTCAGAATGGCCGGCCATGGTGTGGAAGTGGGTTTGTACCACTCCTCTGGTCATCTGTGGTAGCAGTGGGTCTCCCAGCACTGTCCCTGGAGATTCCACTTTCTGGATTATGTTGAGTCAAGTTCCCTGAGGTTCCTAGGTGTAGCAAGACAGGCATAGTTATCTTTCTCCCTAGGCAGGCAGGCCTCTGCCATTTTGGTTTTGAAGGTGACAGAAATGAGGGTTGGGACGGGAAAGTAGAACAGGTTTTCTAGAACCAACAAAGCATCAGACCTGGCTATGCCCTTGTGGTATTTCAGAGGAAGGAGAAGGCCAGGCATGATGGGTCAAGCCTGTAATCCTGGAACTTTGGAGACTAAGGCAGCTCAAGGCTAACCTGTGCTACATTGTGAATTCCAAGCCAGCTTGAGCAACAAAGTGAGACCCTGCCTAAAACCGAAACAAAAGGCAAATAAACAAATCAAACCAAACCAAGAGGCTAAGGGGGTGGGGGTGGGAGAAATGGAGAAGCACAGGTCAGGCATTCAACCCATGCAGACCTGACCTGAGCTAGGCCTGTGGTTCTTGAGACTTCGTGTCCATCATCTCACAGGATGACTTCAGTGCTTCCCAGCTGAGCATGGTTAGTTTACAGCCATTCCAAGCTTGGTAGAGGCAAGGGGCAGCCATGCTCAGGGACCTAGGGTTCCTGGAGTCTTTCCTTGGGGGAACAGCCCTCTTCTTGAGAGTCTGAGGTTATATTGCAACATCTCAAGCATAAGCCCCCTTTCCAAATATCCCTGGCTTCAGGAGACATAGAGTTACAGAGGCACCTAGAAGTCCCTAGAAGCCTTAGGGAATGCTGTGAAAGCAGAAAACATGCAAGGATCTGAAATTTTGAGTGCAGATTCTACATCCTACCCTAAGTCAGAAAGCCTAAAGTGGCTGGTTAAAAACAAAACAAAAAACAACAACAACAAAATTTTCCTTAAGGGGAAGGACTCCTTGTAGCGATTTAAAGTGGAAGCAAACATTCCTGGAGTTACAGATGCAGGAAAACATGGATGCTTGCTTAAACACTCCCACAGCATCCTGAATACCCGCCTCCTCCCCTTTTGCCTGCAGCTAGAGCAGGGAGCAGAAAATGACGACAAATGCGGCTCTCAGCTCTCTCCAGAGTCTATTAAGAAGCCTCATGTTAGAGTTACAAGGGCCCTTAGAGATCTAGAAAATGTAATGTTTCATGTTATGGATGAGAACCTGAGGCCCAGAAAGGGATTCTAGCTGCCCTGAGACCCTATAGCTAGCAAACAGGCGTTCTGCTGGGTGAGCTCCCTTTCTTCCCTTGGAGGCAGCTGGCTGGGAAACTCTGGTTTCTAAGAGGCACAGAAAGAATTCCAAAAATTTCAGGCCTTTCCAAGCCCCTAAGTCACCCCTGTCCCCCGAAGGCCTGTCACCTGAAGTCTGTTCCTCTAGAGTGACAGCTCTGGCCTGGGCTGGCCTGGGGCCTCTCCCTAGGGGTTGGTGGGTGGAGAGGGAGCTTTTGTAGGGCCTCCTTCAGTTGATTGTCTGCAGCTCTGTCTTTGTCACTCAGAAGGGAACCACTGAGGGGAGAGGTCAGGTTGGCGGGTGGACAAGGAAAAAGAGGCCTGTCTTCATTAGGGAGGGGTTGAGAAGAAAGCTCCCTTCTCCTCCCCCCTTCCCCCCCTTCTCTTCCCCCCCCTTCCTTCTCCTCCTTCTTCCCCTCACCACCCCAAACTTCCCAGCTCCTTAGCTTGCTCCCCTAGAGAATTTGTGCCTCTGCTTATTTCAGGCCTAGAGGGGTGGCAACTGACCACAAAGGTGCTTGTCTTCCAGACATTCGAAACCTTGGGTCCTCATTAGAAAGTCTCCTCACCCTGCCCTGTCTGCAAGAAAAGGGTGTAAAGGCTCAAACCTACTGTGCAGGGGGTATTCCATCATTCTCACCTCCACTCTAGCACCTATCTCCCTGCACCCCCTGCCTCATATATTCCCCAGGCTCCCACACCCCCCTACTACAATCACACACAGTGCCATTCCCTGAGAGTCCCTGTTTCCAGGCCACCTTCCTTCCACTGTACACTGATGCATCTCCCCAGACTGTGCTGTTTCTAGTCTCCCCCAGATCCCCCTGCACACAAATCCACCTCCCCAGATTCAACTGTTTTCAGGTTCCTCACTCTCTCTGCCCTCTGTACACGAACTGTCTCCCTAGATCCTGCTGTTTCCAGGTTCCCCTATATTTCTCCGGTACACAAATTGGCCTCCTTGGATTCGGCAGTTTCCAGAAACCCCTTGCTCTCTCACTAGGCAGTTCTGTGTCCCCAGATTCAACTGTTTTCAGGCCGCCCTCATTTGCCCTGTACACGGGTACCTCTCTCAGGCTCTACAGTTTCTAGGCTCCCCTGTTTCCCTTGTACACGCATCAGTCTCCAGCTTATGTTGATCCCAGCTGCCTAAGGGATTCAGTGGGTTTAAGGAGAGTGGAAGAAAGGAGAGAATCAGAAAGAGGAGAAAGATCCTCAGTGGGGATACTCCTTATTTATTTCTCCTGTGACCCAGGGCCTTAAGCAGCTTGCACGCAGGTAACCTCTGGGCCTCTGCTTCTACAAATAGATCCCTTAAGGCAATCTGCCCTGGGACAGCCCAATTCCCTCCTCCCTGCAGTTGCTCCAGTCTGAGTTTCAAGCTGAGCATCCCCTGAGACCCATCTTGGCCGACTGCCTGTAAATGCAAGCCGGGCAGCAGCAAGAGCCTTCCTAGCTCTCTTGTCCCCCTGCTCTCCGCTTGCCTCCTCGGCCCCTTTGTCTTTCCCACCTGCTGCGCCCCAGCTCCCCTAAGTTTATTCACATAGAACTTACAGGAGACTCCAAATGCACTCCCAGAACAAAGAGGGATTTGGAGTTAGAGATCCATTCTTTATTTTTATTCTTTTCCTTTTTCTTTCAGTTTCAGGATGGTGGAGTATCACAGGCCCTGAGAAGTCGTGCCTGGACTAGCATCCCAGCATGCTCTCTAGGCTGCATCAACAGTTGTTCCATCTTTGCTGCATATAAGCAGATGGTCTGCATCCTGATCCTGCAGGGCAAGGGGACCATTCTGCAAGGCTTTCCAAGATTCTTGCGTTCTTGGATTGTCTGTCTGTCTGTCTGTTTGTCTATCTACATTCAGAGTCTCACCCTGTAACTCAGGTTTGTGATTTGAACTCACTATGTAGCCCAGGCTGGCCTTGAACTTATGGCAATCCTCCAGCCTCAGCCTCTTGAGTGCTGGGTTTCCAGGTATGTGCCACCACACCCAGGTTTAGATTAATTTCAACACTTCCCCCAGAGTTTTTGCTGGGATCTTGGGAAGTGTTTCTGGCTCCCCCACCTCTTTTCTCACTAACACACCCTGCTGTCCATTGGCCTAATCCCAGCCACTTTGGCTGCCCTAATGCTCCATCTTACTGACCCCAGCAAACATTCTGGATCTACCAGGAAACAAATAGGAAGGGACGGTCCACTGGGACCAGGACAGTGGCGTAACAGAAGGCAGACTTTCTTACAGGTAAGGGTGTCCAGCCTCATTCCTCCTGGTCCCAGAACTGGAGAGCAGACTCCGTTTTCCCCCGTCAAGTATGAATGACAACATATGCCTACTTAACTGAGTTAGGGGTACACGTGCAAATAAAGTTATACAGGTAGAGAAAACAATGCTTCTATGGAGCTTGACAAATGAATTTACATAAATTCTATTAAAAGAAATTTGTATGGCTAGTCTGTGATACATATATATCGTCTCCCTTGTTGAAAAAAAAGAGGGGCTGGAGAGATGGCTGCTCCTGAGAGGACCCAGGTTTGATTCCCATTACCCACATGGCAGCTAACAACTATCTGTAACTCCAGTTCCAGGGGACTCTGACGTCCTCTTCTGACCTCCTCAGACACTGCATGACATGGGTGCACTTACATTCATGCAGGCAATACACTCATACACATAAAATAAAATAAAATAAATAAAAGAGAATAAAGGCAGTGAACATGTTTACATTGCATCATTATCCTTATTACTATTATTTAAGTTTTGTTTTGCTTTTTTGACACAGTGTCTCATGAAGCTTAGGCTGGCCTCAAACTCTATTTGTAATTGAAGATAACCTTGAACTTCTGATCGTCCTCCCTCCACCTCCCAAATGTTGGGATTATAGGTCTGTACCAACAAACCAAGCTTAATTTTATTATTTAAAAAATGCTGTTAAGGGATGGGGAGATGACTCAGAAAGTAAAGTGATTGCTACGCAAACATGAAGACCTGAGTTTGGATCCCCACAGCCAGGTGTGCAGGTGTGCTATAACCCCAGGTCTGCTGGGAGAGGAGTGGAGACAGGTGGATCCTGGGGTCTCCATGGCTGGACAGTCTAGCTTAAACAGTGAACTCCAAAATCTCATCCCAAACCAGCATGCGAATGCACAGGCAAGTATGTTCATTTCCCCCCTTCTTTCTCTCTCTCTCTCTCTCTCTCTCTCTCTCTCTCTCTCTCTGACACACACACACACACACACACACACACACACACACTCAGAAATAAAAAAATAAGTGCTATTAAAGGATAGGAATTTGGTTTACTGGTAGAGTGTTTACCCAGCATGCCCAAGGTCATAGGTTCATCCCCAGGACAGCAAACAAATATGCAACAAATCGAAATAGCCAGACATGGTGGCACATGCCTGAGTTCAAGGCCAGCCTGGTCTACATAGTGAATTTCAGGCTAGCTGGGGCTACAGGGAGACCATGTCTCTAAAAGACCAAAAAAAAAAAAAAAATCATATGAGAGAAAAAATCAGAGACTACCACTCCTGTCCAAGCTCTGTTCTTTGTTAGCTGTGTAGCATTGACTCTGAATCCTCTTTTGGATTTTGCTTTCATCTTCTGAGGGTCTCCAGCTTGTTCTCTTTGAGCCACTCAAGTACCTTCTCCTGGCTCAGAGTATAAACTTTATTCAGTGTGGAAGTTTCTCAGCCCCTTTCCCAACATCCCCTTACTCAAAGAAACAGAGTCAGATCTCCAGAGCTGGAGGGAGAGGTCTAGTTTTCTTGAATTTCTTTGTCATGGACCCTGTTTTGCTCAGCACAATGGCCGGCCCATGTTCCCAG